GAGCGGTACGATCGCGAGTAGGTAGCAGAGGCGCAGGGATGCGCGGGCGCAAGCGGGCCGGGCGCGTCCGTTGGCACGCATCGTGTCCGCGGTTCTGACCGCGGTTGGCTGACCACCGACCCGGCTCAGGAATCGCTTCAGGCTAATCTTCGTGTCTAATTAGCATTGAGACCCCGAAGTTTTCGGTGAATGCCCTCCACGATATAGGTACTTATGCGGGAGATTCGCGAATTCGATTCTCGTGTGTGGTTCGCATGCTAATTTGATTACTGTTTGTAAATTTGACTATTTTTAACTAAACCGTAACTACTTACTGTACCTACTTACTACCTATATTCATATTGAAATAAATTCACGTGTCCAATAAAACGACGCTTGTTCGAATTAATCTACCTACCTACTTACATCAGTGGTTGTCGATCAAACTGTTATATGACATAGATTAACTCGATCGATCGGTGTTTTTTACTGGACTTAATAGAGTGGTCAAGATGCTGTATTATTTATTGCCATGATAATCCAACTAATATTATAAATGCGAAAGTTTGGATGTCTGGATGTTTGTTACTCTTTCACGCAAAAACTACTGAACGGATTTTGATGAAACTTTACAGTATTATTGTTTATAACCCAGAATAACACATAGGCTATAATTTATGACGATAGGTATGTGACAAACCAAATTTCACGTGGGTAAAGCCGCGGGCAAATTTTGTAATAACAAAAACGGCTAACAGGCACAGTATTATAGTATGTACCTACAAAGGACTTCATCTTCAAGCATAAATTGAATACATTGGAAATGTAGGTAGGTACCTAAAACAAAATGTTGGGTCTACCCGACCGAGAATCAAACCCGGGACCTCGCAACAACATCTATGAACTATGACGCGCCTACAACTTCATTCAGATAATTTTTGATACTTTAGTATTGCTCACATTAAATTAACAGGCTTATTAAAATGGTGGCATACTTAACTGGCATTTTACAAAGTAATAAATACTACATAACTAAATGTTTCAAATTCCGCAGTAGTGATACTCGCGCATTTTGTTGTGATTGCAAAATAGATTTTAAAGTTTATGAAAAGTAAGGTTTATGGTAAATTGATTTTCGGAAGATAGGTTTAGAAAAGCAGGGTTTTCAGAAATTTAGGTTTACCTAAACTCAGGCTTATTGATGTGTTCGGAAAGTTGCATTTTCGAATAAATAATGTTTACGGAAAGTTTCCTCTCCTCGGTGATGGCCAGTGGGCCGGGGGCGTGGGAGTGCCCCCGCCTGCATTGCACAGGTCACCACCACCACGGTCGGACGGGAACAGCTGTGTGCTCCCAGCTGCTACTGTCGCCCCCCCTCCTGGGGAGGCTTGTAGGGCCCGTCGTGTTGGCGGGAAATCGCCGGGAGGGGCTGTGGTAGAGAAGGCTTTGTCCGGCAACCCACAGTTTCCTCCCACTTATGGCGAGTGACGGACCACCGGGGTATTTTTAGTGGGTATGCCTCGTCCTTCTTCCCTTCTGACCCGTAGAACACCAAAGTGGTACACCTCTAGGTGTTCCATGGTTAACTTCTTGTACCCCTGGTTCACCTAGATGTTCCACGGTTCATTTCTTGTACCCCTGGTTCACCTAGGTGTTCTGCTATTCAAAATAATGTACCCGTAGTTCACCTATTTCGTGAAATACAAGTAATAAGAATCCTAACTAATAAAAAAAAACCGTACCAATATTGTCACCGAGGGGTTCAATGCCAAATTAAACCGAGGACTAAACAAAAACACAGTGACAATTAAATTTTTTAGAAAAAAGTGTATCAGTTGAACATGCTGATAAAATTTCTATTACTTACAAAAAGAAAAATATTTCTCGAAAATGATAACTATATTCTCAACATACAAATGCAATTAGTTAATAAGGAAATCACTATAGAGAGTGCATTAAAAAAGCTACGAAGTTAATTAGGCGATTTTTAAATTATTTAGGTATGCGAACCAAGCATTTGACACATGTCTATTAATTTAGAGTATTCACCTCTAGGGTAAAATTTGTTTTCTATCTCTTATTAAATTGTTACATTACCAAAACAGTTTACTTTCTTGTCTTGCCCTCAATATATTTAATTTTATCTTTAACATTTAGTTTTTGAATTATTTAGGATCCTTATTAGGTACCTACTTGTATTTCACGAAATAGGTGAACTAGTACATTATTTTGAGTAGCAGAACACCTAGGTGAACCAGGGGCACAAAAAGTTAACCATGGAACACCTAGGTGTACCACTTTGGTCTTCCACGGGTCAGAAGGGGGTCCTTCCCTCTCGACTTGGTGGTTAGGTTTTTGGTAAGATAGGTTTACCGAAACTTAGGTTTTTGGTAAGATAGGTTTACCGAAACTTAGGTTTTCGGTAAGTTAGGTATAAGTACCCAGCGATATTTTTTGTTTTTGTAATAAAGTTGATGAAAAATAAGTTTTTCAGTAACTTAGGTTTCAAGTTCGGTTTTTGTTTCGGCAAGTTGAGTTGGTATAGGTTTTCAGAAAGATTAGGTACACATTAGCGTAGATACTAAAAAAAAAAACAAGAACACTAAGGAGGGGTCCTGCTAATGTAGATCAAAATACACCTAAGAGTTTGTGAGTACCTATCATTGGTACCTACCAACTATAGACCTTCGGGACATAGGGTCCCGCAGGAACAAANAGAGCCTGCCCACAGAGAGCGAGATAGTGATACATAGGTTGTGCTTCAAGTAGGTATTCTAAGTCTGGCCTCCATTTTTATCTTTAGCTTCATGGGTATACCAACAACATTACATACAAAGTAATTACATGAAAATCTTACATATAGAAGTTTAGTGTGTATGCATGCCAATAACAGGTACACACAGCTTTGGCTAATATACGTCTTAGTTTAAGATTTTACGATTTGGCCACGATATAAATGCATATTAGTGTTAAATTTGACTTATTACTTATTAATCAATAAATTTAAATGAGAAAAATTCAATAAAAATAAAGAAAAGATACCAATTGAAATAATTATAAAATTATTTGTTTTCACCCGGTGTAAACACCCACGGGTGGAATGAAACGGGTTTTTATTGGGTTTTTACCCTCATGTGGGTTTTTACCCGGGTGGAAACCCATCTCTACTTGTGTCCAATTTTGCTGGTTTACACTCAAATATTTTTTGATTTGTTTCACTACTCACTGNTTTTCATGAATTTTCCTATTTTAAAAATGACAATATAAAAAACATAACAAAATGTTTACGTAAGCATAGGGGGAGGGGGTAAGTGCTTTGCTTACTTTTGATGACAAGGGGGGCGGGGGGGTAAAAAATGGTAGGAAATCTGCTTACGTAATACTTGAACGGCCCCCAATGAGTTGGGCGAGATATTTATCATGGAATTGGTTTTTAGCGTGTGTTCCGAGGGCTCACTTTACTAGAGCTTTTATTCTGTACTAGTAGAATATATAAACCCTGTACTCTCAGGGTAGCAATGTGGCTACTTCTGCTAAAATTAAAACCTTACCAAAGAAACTTAGTCTCAAGTTCCAATTTGAACTGTTCCAGTTCCACTGGTGAACTGAGGGCCCATCGTCTGATTGGATTTTCTTTATTTGCAGTAACTGTGCAGAGCTCTTACACGGTAATAATATCATACAGTATTGTAACTTCATATAAACAGACGAATCGAGAACTTTCTTTCGAAATTCAAATCTCGGTATGCGCTCGGTATGCAAAAGTCGGGGGTGTCGCGAATGTGCCGAAAGGACGTCGGTGGCCAAGTGTTAAAATTGACAAAACTGATTGAATTTGACTGACCGTCATTTACGGTCAAATTGGTCAAAAACTATTCAAATTGTCATTTTCAGTCAGTTTGATTTGAAATAAAAATTATATTGTATCGAACCAGCTTTTGCCCACGACTTCGCCCGCCCGAAATTAAAGTAACAGATCATTATGATTATTAAAGTTTCGAAATTATTTAAGTAGTTTTTACTAAATTAAATCTACCAATCACAAAACAACACACATTTTTAACCTATTCCATTCACGAAGTATTTTGTTTGTCTAACTAAATAAAAAATACAATAAAAAGTCTAGATAGAAATTCTAAGTAGGCAGATGTAATTAAACTGGTTACTGTAGGTGGGCAGCCCTATCGCATGTTGTCATACTGTGACGTACCGCGCGACTGTTGACATTTATTTCAAAAATATGGCCGAGTTGGACTACTGTATAGATAGTATTACCGTGGCTCTTATTTTCGTATGTAGCCCTACGATTTACCTCCTAAATATTACCATTCATCAAAATCATCTTATTTGGTCAGATTCAGTAATTTGGCATTTGACATAGTTCATCTGAGGGACTACATTCGGCGAGTTGTAGCGTCCAACTTACAACACCTACAAATTTATCATTCTGGCTACATTTGTTTTAGAGGTTGGAATGGACTAATTATCTGCTATACTCTCGACTCTCTAAAGCACAACATTTATAAAAATTTTGCTGCGGTAATGCACTCCTGCTAAATCTTTATGTATACGAAACCTTCGTTTTCCACAGTGGCCTCTCGAAGGGAACGCACATGACGTCATTTGGCTGAAAAAAGAAAAGAAAGAAAAAGGTTTACCGAAACTTAGGTTTTTGGTAAGATAGGTTTACCGAAACTTAGGTTTTCGGTATGTTAGGTATAAGTACCCAGCGATATTTTTTGTTTTTGTAATAAAGTTGATGAAAAATAAGTTTTTCAGTAACTTAGGTTTCAAGTTCGGTTTTTGTTTCGGCAAGTTGAGTTGGTATAGATTTTCACAAAGATTAGGTACACATTAGCGTAGATACTAAAAAAAAACAAGAACGCTAATGAGGGGTCCTGCTAATGTAGATCAAAATACACCTAAGAGTTTGTGAGTACCTACCAACTATAGACCTTCGGGACATAGGGAACAAAGAATTTGCAAAACTAGGGTAAAAGTGTAAAAAATAAAAGATGGTATTGTGTTTTTATGGTTTATTTATAAGTTTACATCTTTACTTAGCCCTCTTGGATTTGATCTTTCTCAGGTAGAATTCCAGCTCCTTACCCTCTAGAACGTAGCCATCAGCGCGGCCGCACTGGCCCGGCCGACTTGCGACACACGCTGGAAAAGACAAAATAAACACTTGATCAAGTATTCCAAGCATAATAACAATAGAGCTAGAAAGGAATTGATCAGAGTAACTATGACAGTTGGATCATACAACTGCAAGACTGTTCCCAAAACGGTCCCAGTCTATAACGCAGTCTCAAAACTTCTCGATTTCATCATTAAAATATCTATACTTTATAAAACACGTTTATTTAGACATGTCCCCCGACACAATGTACAATTAATGTTATGTATGAAAGACTAAGTTGTGAGGTGCATATCTCATGATTTACTTGCATATTAAGTGTTAAAAAGTGTTGAATAAGAGGCTTCAATACATACCTAACAGACGTCCTGTGTGGAATTGCTCTTCCAAAGCAGCTTCAACCTTGGAGAGACGTTGCCTTGACAAGTACTTCTTGGCAGTCTTCTTGCTGCGCTTTTTGTTGATGATGGCTTCCTCAGCCTCAGTCTGAAAAACAATTCATGGTTTATTACAGACTCTGGGAAGCTATTCAAAATTAAATGAAGAGGTTTTCAGATATTTACATCATAATCACAGCTAAGTTTCATATGACACGCATTGAAAATCATCAGCAAGCAACAGATTAATTACAACACCCCACTTCTACGGTTTACCACTACATTTAATAACTTGATTTTGTTTTAAAANTTTGAAAATTTAACAAAAATATCCTGGGGCATTCTGATAATAAATCCAATATCTGTATTATATTTCTTAAATATTTATTTATTTATTCATGAATAGAACGGTAGTACCAATTACACTATTCAAACAAGACGTAACAAAGTTCAGAATAACATTTAATCTAATTTAAAAAAAATAGTAATGAACTTCATCACTTGTGTTACTTTTAAAAATTATGTTTGATACAGAAACAGTAATTATGCCCATAAAATTAGTTTCTGAAAAATATATTTCCTGGAAAATACCATGTGATAATAATTACAAATTATATGAATCTATAACAATATGAGTGAAAAGTTTCAACTGACTAGATGTTTTGAATGCACTTGATATTCATTTTAATGCAATAACAACATCTACAGACATAGTAAAATCTTAATAACAGTAAATCTGCACCACTTTATCCTACATTTTACATTTCAGAAACAGAAAAGTAGGTTTGAAAAATACCATGTGATAATACAAATAGGCCCTAGAAGCCTTTTTGTATAATCGCATGGTAGGTATATTTACATTCTACATAGAAAATAATATTTGTGTTTATAAAATACTCACAAGCTTGGCTCCCTTCTTCCTACCCAAAGGTAGAAGATAGTGGGACTCATACCACTGCCTGAATGGGGTGGCATCCACGACAACAATAGCATTCTTCACCAGGGTCTTGGTACGGACTAACTCATTGTTGGATGCATTGTACACAACATCAATGATACGGGACTTGCGGGTGGCGCCTGAAAATTAAACAACACAAATTATTTGTATAGGTTGAATGATAATAATATATTCAAAACAGTATTCAAAAGATCCTTACATTCTGATCCCCATGAGAAGTTACCAGTGTCGAGACGCAGTGCTCGGTACTTGGTATTGCCACCGCGCGATCGCACAGAGTGGATACGTTGTGGTCCAAGCTGAAAGAAGTGAAAGAACATGGCATTATAACCTATAAACTGACAAGTACATCATCAGATGTTTACAATATATGCCGACATTACAGGACAATAACCTTGGCTAGTCGTTACCAATTGCACGTGCTGTTTTTACTATCTTATGAAGTTTGTAATGAGGTTGGTGAAGAAAATTTGTCTACTTACTTTGGTGTTGGCGGCTGGGCGACCCAACTCATACTTCCTCTTCTTGCGGATGGGCGCACGTTTGCCACCCGTAGCCCTCCGCTTATGCCAATGGTCACGACTGATACCTAAACAGAGGAAAAATATGACTTACGATACTTCACAGAAAATCACTTTGCCGACATTTACTTCACACACTCAAGTACTTTCTTAGTGGTCACCACTAAAATAAAGCCGTATTCATTTATAAACAACAATGCACTTTTGAATCTAGGACAAAATCAAGAAATCTGTAATATTATAAGTAAGATTAACCACGATTTTAACTACAAAAATAATGTTCACTCACCCATCTTGACTGGGCCGAAATGGAAAAGATATTTTGACAGATGGAACTACTATACCTCTACTTCTGTAGTCTATGGTTCGTAGTCTGTATTGCGACTATTACTTTTTTTCAAACGGGTTTTTTACTAAAATCCGTTATTATATTGTACAAATGCGAAAAAATATATTTTCTTCGAAAGTTTTTGTAATATATTGCAATCAGTAGATAATCTTTCGAAGACATTAATTTTTTCTACGCTAACAGAAAGTCAAGGATCGCTTATAAAGGGCGCCCTTTTTCAAAGAAAATCTTCACTTTACGCTATATCTTCTTAAATGTTAAAGTAAATCATAATTGTGCTTAGAATAATCACAAAACTTTCACTTAATTTAAGCAAAACCACAAAATTGTTTTCTCACAGTAACCACGAAGTGAGCCGAAAACTGATAAAACAAAAAACTACAAAATTATACGTCACTTTTTTCAAATTTTGTTTTATGTCATAAAAGAAGGTCGCAAGGTACATACTAAGGTGTAATCACAAATCACAACATTTTGCAAAGGAGACATTATAGATTTTCTAATCTTGGCTTGGAAACATAGCTTGGAACTATTAAATTAAAAGTTTTATATGGCCACCGACAACCGAGGTATCATAGTGAGTCAAACAAAGCCAAAGCTCTCTTTATTGGTTCTCATCAGATCTTAGCTAGTCTGTTTAAAAAATCTGGTATGTAAGGAATACCCGTAATATAATAGTAAAGAACATACAAAACAAAGGTTTCTTGGAGTTTCACCTACTTAACGAAAGTAATTACATTACATTTGTACATGTCATTTGTATAACTACTGCTTAGCGCGCGTGTAGGTTCTTATTGCCAGAGGTTAGAATTGATTTACCCAACGCAAAACCCCCTTTCCTTCTACTTTTCCATGTTTTTGTTACACAAATTCACCCAAGAAGTAAGAACCTTCTCCAGTTTTTACCTCTATTTACCTCTTACAAAGTTTTTCTTATGGGTTAAAATTGTCTATGATAGTTTTTTTTTTGGCTATAAAATCCATACTCCGAGGCCGTACATAAAATGTCGGATTCAAATCGATATTATTTTCGATTACAATACGAAGCACCCCTCTCTAGTTTCGATATCCCTTCCCGACTCTATGCTTCCCGCGTCCTATCCTACCACGATTGTATAGCATTTGGCGACTAAAAGAACTGAAACCATTGACCAATAGATGTGATGGAAGTATTATTTTTTTCATTCCTATTGGTTGCTTAATTTGGACAACTGCATTGCCACGCGCAATGAAACCATAGTTTGGCTATAGTAGCGGTCTCTTGTCACTTTTGTGAGGTTATGCTTGTTTGTGCACCAAATTTAACAGCAGCAAAATAAATAATTACTATTGCCTTGCAGCGAATTACCATCAACCATTATTTTATTGATGTTTCTGTAGTGCTCAAGTTATAATGTCGACTGATTTTTATATACGCTACTATGTTGGTCATAAGGGAAAGTTTGGTCATGAATTTCTTGAATTCGAGTTCCGGCCTGATGGAAAGTTACGTTACGCGAATAATTCTAACTACAAGAACGATACGATGATTCGCAAAGAAGCGTATGTACATCCTTGTGTGATGGAAGAACTAAAGCGTATCATTTTGGATTCTGAAATAATGCATGAAGATGATCGCTTGTGGCCACAACCAGATCGTGTTGGAAGGCAGGCAAGTTTCAGCATTGAATTTATTAGTTTCGTAACTAGATAATAAACGCCCAATACAGATTTCTATTACCTATTTATTAGTACTCATTCAAACGTAACACTTCAAACTTTTACTTTGCTTTTTAGTATGAATATTGAACTAACCTTATTTTTGTCTTGATTTTCGAGCTCTAAGTTTATTTAATAGCTTACTAATTATTTTTCATAGATTGTAAGTTAATAATGTCCAATCTAGGCCACTTAGTAATTAAGAAAGAGCCTTTGAATCTCACTCACAGAATATCTGGATGTATATTATCATGATATTATCTGTTTCAGGAACTGGAGATAGTAATTGGCGAGGAACATATTTCATTCACTACATCTAAAACTGGATCATTGGTGGATGTAAACCAATCACGAGATCCTGAAGGACTGCGCTGTTTTTACTACCTTGTTCAAGATCTCAAGTGCTTAGTTTTCTCTCTCATCGGTCTGCACTTTAAGATTAAGCCTATATAAGATTTGTAAGATTAAAATAAAATAATACCATTTTCACACATGAGCATTTTGGCTATTATTTTAATCATTATCATATAATATGTTATATTTTGCTAATGAGCAAAATTATTTCTAAAGTAAAAAAACCATGGCTTGAACATCTACATAAATGTTTGAAACCAGTTAAAACGAAAAGATAATTGGGTAAAAACTTCCTTTTCTTAATTATCTAAGTATGTACTAGCTTTCCGCCCGCGGCTTCGCCCGCGTGGAATTTTGTCTGTCACAGAAAAACTTTATCGCGCGCGTCCCTGTTTCAAAAACCGGGATAAAAACTATCCTATGTCCGTTCCCAGGACTCAAAACTATCTCTATGCCAAATTTCATCAAAATCGGTTCAGTGGTTTAGGCATGAAAGAGAGACAGACAGAGTTACTTTCGCATTTATAATATTAGTATAGAATAAAGAATATGTCCGGGATCTTATTAGTGATTGCTGTATATTCTTCACATTTTTAACCGACTGTAAAAAAGAAGAGGTTCTCGTTTTTTGAAATCATAAAATCAAATAGACCATGTATATTCATTTCGAACGTTTTTTAAATTATCTGTGGGTCTTCAGTTTGCTATGAATGAGACTAGCTGTGCTCGCGACTCCGTACGCGTGAAAATAGTTTGAATATTTTTTCCGCAACATTTTTCATTAATGCTCTGCTCTTATTAAAGACTAAACAACAGAGTACAAGCATCAAAATGGCATCAAGTATTAAAACGGAGTAGTTCCTGAGATTAATCGAAACTATAGATTCTTTTATTTTGGTGCGGGGTTCGGACGTTTCTCCTAGCGACTCCAGGGATACTATAGTAATACCACAGTTAGACTATTTTATTCAATTGTCTCAATCGAGGAGAATCGAACCCAACCCCAGCTTGAGTACTCTTGCGCGTGTGAACTCACCCTTACCCAGCCATCAGTAATATTATTGAGCGACGTGAATCACTGAAAAGCTGAGTAAAGCTAAGCGTCCACCTGTCCGCATCGTACGCATCGCACATCCCATACGATGTGTTTTGTACGATGCGTCGTCCGTTGCGTACGATACCGACAAGTGGACGATTAGCTTAAGAATCTAGACTAGAGCTTACCTAAGTAGTATTTTAAAATTTGTCTCTTTGAATATGTATGGACTTTACATAGGCTCACTCTCGTGGCTCGTGGCAAACAAAAACAAATAATTAGGTACATAGGTTTTAATAACTCAGTCTTGGTTGGTAATGGGTTACCTACGCCATATCGAATGACAAATGATCGAAAATCAAAATATCGAATACGTTTCATCGAACGATCAAAATATCGAATGCTCAAAATATCGAACCTTCAGAATATCGAACGATCAAAATATCGAAAGTCGATATAGACGTTTTTATTAAATTTCATCACGCATCATTTCTGAACTTTCCTTTTTGGGACAGGCTAGGCTTATAATTGGTCCCCACCTGTCCCCACGGACATTATTCTCAAAATTCATAAACTTGAAGAAATGATGCGTGATGAAATTTAATAAAAACGTCTATATCGACTTTCGATATTTTGATCGTTCGATATTCAGAACGTTCGATATTTTGAGCATTCGATATTTTGATCGTTCGATGAAACGTATTCGATATTTTGATTTTCGATCATTTGTCATTCGATATGGCGTAGGTATAACCCGTTGGTGTTTCCTATGTATTACTTTTCTCTATGCGTTGGTGGGTGATGATGAACCCGTCGACGAACCACATACACATTTATTACTGTAAATAGGTACCATACCGCAGCCGCAACATAGCAATTAAGCCGAGTCCACACATGATGTGCTTGCTTTGAGCTTACATGTAAAAAATAATAAGGGTACCTAATTTTTTTTTTTTTTTTTTTCTTGGCTTTNGCAACTTTATTAAGTATCATAACATTTGAGAAAATTAATACAGTACTTTTTTTTTTGAAAAAAATATTGTAAAAAAACAGTAAAATCAGCGTACGACGGAACGTAGGCTTATATTTTGTGTTTAGCTTTGCGCGTTGCGCGCGCATAGCATCTGCCGGACCGACCGATTATGGCGGACGGGGAGTGAAGAATGATTGTCGTCTTTTTTAAATCGGAAAGGATCGACATTAGCCAATGGCATAAACCGGGTTTTTTGTAAAATCTGTACATTGTAAATAGTTCTGTGTACATATAGTAATTATATTTGTGCTCGTTTTGTTTAGAAATTGTGTGAATAGTGTATTATTTTGAGTGTTTATTCTGTTTAATCTGGACGCCGACAAATAGCTAAACCTTGATGTTAGTATACTGGCATACCAAACACAACTTCTAAATTTGAAAATCCTGTACAATTAGTTCCCCTGAAAGCATCGATTTCTCTTCTCACCTTTGTGTTTCGATCCGTCAAGGAGACGGTTGCACTTGCATTATTTTGGTTGTCCATAGCGGCTGTCATCGTGTTTCAATAAATCTATTTAACTGTCATTACAAGACAAAAGGACTGCTGTAGTCGCTAAATTGCTTCGATGCTGAGATCTGCTCATCGTTAAATAGTTTTCTGATCATGTAAATCGATTGAGCTATACGTCTCAGCTCGATTAGTGTTGAAGTAGTGCTACAATCTAAACAAAGAAGATAGTTGAAGATTTTGTTTGTCGTTGTGAAGTATCAAAGTGTAGTGAAACTGAATGCTCGAGCCTCACGGTAGCCCAATGAAGTGGCCGGGTTCGGGAGCTGAAGAAGAGGCGGGCGAAGCTGGGTTGCAAAGCGCTCGCGCCTCACAGACTCGCGCTCAGGACGATGCCGCCGTTCATTACGTATTCCAACGAGAATCCCAAGAAGCTGAATTGCCTTCTCTAACTCCTAAACAACGTTGGGCGGTCGGTGATGATACAATTGTAGAGGTTAGTAACACAGTACAGTTTTAAAGGCTCTTTTCTGTGACGCCCTTGTATTTATGTACAAACATAACCTAACATTTGCAAGTTTACTTTGACTCAATGTAAATGTCATGTTTTATTTGTTAGAAGACTACAAAAATCTAGATTTATACAATTGATTATCTTTTGTATTGACTATTATTTAGTTAACAATAGAGAACAACTTTTTTTAGACTCCTCTTTACTATTTTTCAGAATCAAGATAAATGGAAGAATCCTACTCCAATGAATATGAATAATATGCAACAAGGTGCAGTGCAACTGAAAAATTCCCAGACTAATCAGCAACAGTTCATAAATCAAGCTATTGCTTCCTCAGTGGGAACCTTGGCGATAAACCCTTCGGTTATTGGAAATCATCAGGCTCATTTGGCTACAAATATGGTTCATACTCAACTTGCGCCATTGCAAAACCATACTTTGGGAAACAATTTGACAATTCAAAACAGTGCAATGATGCTTCCACCTCTTCAAGGAATGCAGAATCCTCCCCAGCTAGGACAGCAGGGATTATATGACATACATCAACACCCTGGGACTCCAATGCAGGCCATGAATGGTATTGGGAAAAGTGCAGAACACCTCATGTATCTGAGTCAAGCTGGAATGCTTGCACCGGGGACTAACCAGTTCCTGCAGCAAGGCCAAAATCAGCTCGGGCTAACTCCTGTTGCAGCCATCAGAAACCAGGTAAGCTTTATCACACAATACTTGATTTTTATCTGTTAGTTACCTGCATAGTGACACAACAAATGAGCTTTTGTCTAAGAAAAAAGTAATTTATTCCAATATTGAAATTATACGTAAAGGTTAAGAAACCTTCATGTCGTATTGGTTGTGACCAACATATTTGTCACATATTTATGTAATAACATACATATAAAGAGGTAAATTTTTCATTTGTTTAAACATTATGTTTGTGATTGAGAGAAGACCCAGTGCTGATTTTGTTTTTTTTTAAATAATGGAGGACCATGCAGTGATTCACTGTTACTGCACCATCAACATATTCTTGGAATAATCTTAATCATATGGCTTTATCTGAATGTTGTATTTAATGAATATTTATTTATCTGCCTAATCTACATAATCAGCTGTTTACAAGTTTTTGACAGTTTTCTATTGAGATTTTGTTAAATTGTAAGGGGTAATCTCAGGATCTACTGAACCGATTAAAAAAATTATTTCACCAATAGAAAGCCACATTATTGCTGAGTGTTATAGGTTATAATATAAAAAATCGAAAAATTCCACGCAGGCGAAGCCGCTATCTAATAAACAATTATTATGATACCAATGAAAATACCATCTGAATTTGAAATAGAGGTATAAATTTTACACCTCTAAACTGTCAAGCCATGTATTCATTAGGCAACATTTATAAACAGTCCATAAACATAGGTGATGAAACATTGTTTATGATACATGTTTCCGTGCTCTCGATATTAGTGGAGTGGAGAGCAATTGTGGACGGCCAAGTTTCAGAAATCTGTGTTTATGGTAAACTTGTTTCACACTAGTCATAAACAATTTATCAACAAATGTTGCCTAATGAATACATGGCTTCAGCATTTAATGCTATAGTAAGTTTGGTTTATTACACTACTAGCAGCCGCCCACGACTTCTTATGCGTGGATCCCGTTTTACCCTCTTAGGGGTTGAATTTCCAAAATCCCGTCTTAGAGAGCACCTACGTTCTACACTTGCGAGCAAAAGTATGGAATCACTTACATGAATTTGTTTCCACGCGATCTTGTGTACAAACCAATTTGTTAGTAACAAAAAAAATAGCACCATTTTAAAGATTAAACTTTTAACTTTAAATTGATACCAAATTCATTTAAATCATACCAGTATTTAAAAAGATATCCCGGCTGATGTAAAGAAGTAAGGAAAAAGACATGTATCAACTGTTTGATACGTCGCGAGTTGCGGCCTATTTACCCCCCATAAAAGCAAGTGTTTTCGGATTTTTGCTTCCACACGTTGATCCATACACATCTCCGCTTCTTTTGACACTTTACCTGGGATTCTACACCTTCAGAAGCAGCACAAATCGTTGCACTATTGCAAGAAGGGCTCAGCCAGAGGGCTGTCGCACGTCAGCTCCACATAAGCCAGTCCTGGGTTTCGAAAGTTTTAAGACGCTTAATGATGGAGTCAGGAGGCGGCCATAGGAACTCCTAAATGAAACGGCGGAATCGCATCGAATTTGGGGTTGTTGGAACCAAGGCTCTGAGATTGAGATACTATAGACTAATAGCTGGTGAACGCCAGACCAACGTCATTTTATAATAGCTGAAAGTTTGTCAGCGTATTCTCCCAATATAGGTTAGAATGTTGGTGGATTATGAAGTTTGGGTCATCGTGGCTTTGGCAGCTATCCTAAAAAACTGTCTGGCAAGGAGTTGGAACTCTCAAAATTGTCTGGCTAAAAAGAGGAATAAATTCCATGCGAGATACAAGCTTTCGAAATTATCTGAACCTTGCATACAATTATTTTTTTCGTTTTATTATAATGTGTTAACGGATTAACGATTAACGTTAACTTGCGTTAAATCTTGCTAAATGTAACGTTTTAACGTTTAACGAAGTTAATTTTTTTATTAACGGTTTAACGATTAACGAAGTTAACTATTTTATTAACGGTGCCCAGCTATGCAATTATTATGATACCAATGAAAATACCATCTGAATTTGAAATAGAGGTATAAATTTTACACCTCTAAACTGTCAAGCCATGTATTCATTAGGCAACATTTATAAACAGTCCATAAACATAGGTGATGAAACATTGTTTATGATACATGTTGCCGTGCTCTCGATATGAGTGGAGTGGAGAGCAATTTTGGACGGCCAAGTTTCAGAAATCTGTGTTTATGGTAAACTTGTTTCACACTACTCATAAACAGTTTATCAACAAATGTTGCCTAATGAATACATGGCTTCAGCATTTAATGCTATAGTAAGTTTGGTTTATTACACTACTAGCGGCCGCCCACGACTTCTTATGCGTGGATCCCGTTTTACCCTCTTAGGGGTTGAATTTCCAAAATCCCGTCTTATAGAGCACCTACGTTCTATAAGAAACCCCTATGCAAAATTTGAGACTCTTAGCACTTGTAGTTCCTGAGATTTCGTGATGACTGAGTCAGTCAGTGACCTTTCGCTTTTATAGGGCTAGGATATTTATAGACTAGGGCTTGAATACCGGAATTCCGGAATTTCGGATAGTTTTTTTCCGATATTTCAATTCCGGAACTGAAGCCAATATCGTATTCCGATATTGAAATTTTTCATAAATTATTGTAAGTTTTCAAAACGTTAAAGTATCAAAAGAGGTCTTTAGATAAGGAAGTCCTTGAGATATGTATTCGCAACTTTATTTCTAATAATATTAAAGAGGCAATAGAACGGAACCAAAGCTCCAAAATGTTCGCTAGAGACAACTCTAATGGGCGAAGCCAGCTGAAGACAGCGGATGATAGTATAAATAAATTCAACAAAAGCTGAGGGTTCTGGGTGAGATCGAAAAGTTTTTATGGACAGCTATATTATACCTCGGTCACCAAACCTGTTAATAGCTCAGCCACAGGACAGTTCCAAGAGCTAAGCTAACTCGACACTATACCGAAGATATCCCGGACATCAGCCCATACGAGATTAGGATGGCTCTCAAACAGAACAACAAGGCACCGGGTGATGACGAAATAAACTCGGAGCTTCTGAACGCGGCGGGTGATAAGTCGATACTGAAAGTCCTTCAGAGACTGTAACTCCGTCTTACTGCCAGAGGCACGGAACAAATGCTTGGTGGTGTTTTTCTTTAAGAAAGGGGTAAAAGCCTTATTAAGGAATTACAGACCCATCTGGGTTCTGACTTGTCTACAAGCTGTTTTTGAGAGCCATCACGAATAGTCTCGCGCGTAGGTTCGATGACTTATAGCCTCTCGAGGTAGCCGGTTATCGAAAAGTTTACACTACCATATACCGCATCTATACGCTACGGCAGGTTATACAGAAGTCCGAAGAGTCTAACTTGCCTGTATGCCTGGCGTTCTTAGACTATGAGAAGGTCTTTGAGCCTGGCTGAGCACGAGAGCGATTCCTCTGCAGCGAGCTGTGACTGTGAGGCAGGGAGATGTAATAATACATCGAATTGAACTCGACTGGACAGCTTTCGGGAAACTACGTCATAATATATTTTCGAGCAAAACACCTCAGTGCCTTAAGACGCAAGTTTACAATCAGCGTGTGTTACTAGTAGTGATGACATACGGTTCGGAAACGTGGCCTCTTACTATAGGCCTTATAATAAGCTCAAAGTTGCACACCATGGTATGGAGAGTGCTATGCTCGGTGTTTTTTTCGAGATTGAACCAGAAATGAGGAGATTCGTAAACGAACTTTTCGCCTGACATAATTATAGCGATCGGATTATCAAGCTAAAGTGGTAATGGGCAGGGAACATAGTACGTAGAACAGACGGCCGATGGGGCAAAGTTCTGAAGTGGAGGCGACATACGTGTACGTATTTGTCGGAATGCGCTTTTTTTTAACTAATTCCGGAACTAGAACAGGAATTCTGGAGTTGAGTGCTCAATATCGGAAATCAGTTCCGGAATTGAAAACTATCCGATATTGCAAGCCCTAATATAGACTAACTGTGCCCGCGACTTCTTACGCGTGAAAATAGAATAATATTTCCAGTTTTTTGTGACTTTGCCCCTATTGACTGTAGGGTGTAGCCTCCCTCGATAAATGGGCTATCCAACATAAAAATATTATAAATATATTTTTTTTAAATTGGACCAGTAGCTCCTGAGATTAGCGCGTTAAATCAAATCAAACAAACTCTTCAGCTTTATAATATTGTATGTATAGATTTTGTATTAAAAAAACAAGGTTTGGTCGATGGCCGCCTCAAAAAAACAAAAAGACGCCACATCCCATAACTTAATCTGGCATTGCTATTTGCCCACACGCTAAAGTTACGTCACCCTTATTTAACGCCTTTCGCCGGGTATTTTTGGATATTATAGAGATCTCCTTAGTTCTAGTCTACCTTTCTTTTTACGTCAGGAAATGCTTTCTCACTAGCCGTCACGAGTCTCAACTTCCTACCAGAAGGGCGGGGCCTTAATTTTCTTTTTTAACGTCTGGAAATTGGAAATGCTTCAAGTGCTTCACTGATCAATAGTGACGGCCAGTAGGATATGATGTGGGTGGGACTCTCCTCACCTCTCACTAAAGGGTCTACCCACTAAAACCCAAAAGTGTCCACCGGAGCCGCAAGTTATTGTCCCAACTTGGACATTCGTCCGCAGCTCCGTCTCAGGCTAGAGTCTCGCGCTCCAGCGAGCCTCTACGGCTTCGAGGGGTCCCCCATTCTCCTACGCCAATTGTTTTTTATAGAGGTTTTCTTGTGGTCCTGTTGTAACCGCCATAGCGGGTTACGGTCTGCTCTATGCCGCTCCTCAGTCAGCTCTACTGATCAGATGAGTACCGAGAGCGACCTTCTCTAAAGAATGGGCCCGGGCAAACACACCGCCGCCTGTAGGGGTTTTTAAAGATGTCCCCTGCTTCGCGGCCCAGGAAAATGTCCCGACAGCCACGGGTTGCCCGACAGGCTGACTACCACGCACTAAGTTTTTGTCCGCGCCGGTAGAACGGTACCCCACCACGAATG